CGCGAAATAGGGTCAAGTTGGGATCGGGATATTTATCCTGTCATCTGTTAAATCGCCACCTTATTAACACAAAAATGATTGAATACAGTAGACAATCATAATCATTGCATTCATTCAAAAACTGAGATAAACCGATAGCGCAATTTGGGTTTTTGATCCGATCAGCTTTAAGTTTAATTCCTCTCACTGGCGCATACGTGCGTCGTTTTACTAATTTTTCGGCGTGGTTACCATGCCCAGTATAGACAGGGTTTGAAAGATAAACACTCTGGTGAATTCCATCAAAGGAGAATCAAGGCTGTGACAGATGCCCGGGTGAGACATTGAAGATATACACATTTACATCAATTTACACATTTTGGGGGTATCGTCCTTTAAGATTCAATAACTCATGAATTATAAGTCAAAACCAGATGGGATTTGGGTTACGCTTTCTTTAAAGATGATTTAAAATGTTAGATAGGAATACTGGTGAAAAAAAGAAGAAATATAAGTCACCTCAAAATTTTACCCCGCGTTTCTGTTTTTCGTTCAGTATACATGTAATGCACTAACAATAAGTATGAAAAACGTAAGTCAGCATTTGTAAAATTTCCTAAACGAGTGAAATAACGAAAATATCTGTCGTAAATTCAGTGTGTAAATAATGAACTAACAAAAAGTATGAAAAGCGCCAGTCAGAATTTTACTCAATGATAAATTAAATTGCATTTGCTAATTGTATTTGCTGACAATGTCACTGTAACGACCATAGAACCTAAAGAAATGATGACTTTAAACGATAATGCTGATATTCTTGTTTCGTCAGCTTGATTTTCAATAATTTACCTCCTTTTAGAAGTTTTGAATACGTAGAACATGCTTTTGAGTATCGACTCAACGGAGGGATATAAACTCCGTATGCAGATGATGAAGACATAGTGCTGCAAAAGTAAAGGATGTTGACATTTAAAAAGAGAAAACGTCATTATCATAGAGCTTGGTTGTTAGAATACCCTTAATGTCTATTTCAAGTAAAATTTCCAGAAATGAAACAGATGTCTCCGACTCCGTGGTTTCTTTTATGTCAAGCTCACCGGGGCATATCTAAATGTCGAGTTGATAGTCACAGCAAGTGTTTTCTTCTTTTCACGTATAAGATTTTGGACAAACTCTGTTTCATATGAATGCAAAAATAGGTCTGCTTATAACAGGGTGCAATTGGCACCGTTGGGAATTCCAATAGACTGTTGGAATTTTAAGGTGTGGTCTCCAAAGACGACATACATATATTGTCAATCAGAAACTCAAGCATCTTTTTGATGTCAACTTCAGAATATTTGTGTGTGCAATCGCAATGCTCTTTATCAAAATAATTTTGCAAATGACCAATGAAAAGGTAAGTTTACGAGTTCCATTTGTATTGGAAAACAGCTGTCATAGATATCAAAAGGCTCGAATTTTAGGTTATTGTGGGGAATAGTTGTGTATAAAATTGAAAACTCGTAAATTTTTAAGCTGTTGATTTTGGTAAAATCTTAGGATATAAAGTTTTCAAAAAATTTGAATAACAAACAAGTTAAAATCGAGGTGACGAGCAAGGTCAAAATGATTGCACCGTGAGATGCACAGTTACACCAAATTTCCTTTGAGACTATGAATACTTACTGTAAAACGAGAAAATCTGGCGCATACGTATTTTAGTGCAAACGCCATTTGAAATACATTGACGCAAATAAATTTTAGCGCTTGCAGTTGTAATTAAAATGTATAAATGTGATATTATTTTTTTAATCCACGCTATTATTTGACATTTTCGTTGATCAAGCAGGGAAACACAATAGCATCCCCGTATACAAGTAAATAATCGTCAACTTAACCATAATGTTGCAATCACATAGACGTGACACAAAGTTAAATTTTATTTAATTTTTTTTCAAATGAAAGAAATGGAGTATTTACGCATTTTAGTCATATTAAAACAATGCATGCATCGAAGAAAAGCTATTTGGATAAACGGTAATCATAATCAGACATTGTCTGCAAGCTCAATCGCTATGCTTGATTGCAGTGTTTACCTCGAGGCGATAGATGACTGACACGATGAGAAGTCAACTTTGAAGTATCGGGTAACAACTAACAATAGTTTAATCTGTTAACTGAATAGATTATGATTTGACAGAATTTTTCGATTGATCTTACCATGTGCAGTACTAGTGTGTTTATAAAATTCAATGACCCTTCGACATTACATAATTGCGCGTTCCGGTTTACATCTACTTATGTGAAAGCTTTGAACATACACAAAAAAATAATATTTAGAATTCCGTTAGCGCACAATAAATTTTCCAAAGGCGCTAAAATTAGTAGTGCGCCAAATATTCTCGTTTTACAGTATCTAAATAGTACTTCTAGAACAAACTTTATAATGAGCGACATGCCTTAGACCAAATGGTAATAAGAATGTAGGCCATTGATCATTAGCAATGCCCGAGGAGGTTAATTTTACAAAGAGAAACTAAAACTCAATGTACCATACCGCTGTGATAAATTATTGACGTATAAGTATAAAATTACACAGAACAGAATATTATTAAATTTTTAATAATATGATTATCTACGTTAGTGTTGTGACCTCAGAAAGAAATTTTAAACCATTTTACATATAACTGTATTTCCGAAATGAAATCTTCACATGACCCTGAAATATATGTAATGAATCGAATGTTTTCTGCTTGTGAAGAAAATCAAGGATTATCTTGACTATTTTTACATGTATATTTATTTCTTAAAGTAAAAGAGAAGGAAAATCACAATATCAGCTTTTTCAGCCTTGACGGCTTACAAATATTTGCTTGATGAGAAAATAAAAACGAATGATGCTCTTCTTCTATAATTATGCTTATACATCATTTATATTTTAGATTCAAAATGGATCTCATCAAAAGTGCCCAAGATGTCATCCGGTGTGATCTTTGTGAGGACGCTATACTTCAAATCATTAATGTACTGTGATATCTGCCAGGTCAAGTTGTGCATTTCTTGTAGTCAAGTAGTTTTGTCGAAAACACAAAATTGTCCCATTCCAGGAGAAAAAATCAACCTTGATTTATCCTAAGTGTACTACACATCAAACAAAAAGTTGTGAATTTTATTCTAAAGAATGTGATATTTCTGTATGTTCTTTGTGTTAAATAATTTCTGATTTACACAAGGGATATACCCTTTCAACTCTTTTAGATGTCTCTAATGCAAAGAGAGATGTGATAGTCAAAGATATTGACGAAATCGAAAACATAATTTCGCCAACATATGAAGAAGAAGCAAATGACAAAACTGTCTCAGAGTAATCAATACTATTGTCGATAAAATGAAAGTAGAAATCGAAGAAGAAATGATAAAACATGAACATTTTGAACGAACATTTGGTGGAAATCAGACAAATACAACTCCGGACTGAGGAAACATCGCTAAAATTGACTCTTATTGAAGAATCAAACGAAACGGTATGTCCTTGACCATGGAATACAGTTCTAAAAATACTAATTCAGCAAATTTCCTCCAGAAGTGCAAGTATCGCTTCCAACAACCCTAATGTAGATTTTCCGTAACTTCCATGGAATTCCAAAGCATATTCCACGGAATTCCATGGAATTTTTGTTCCGCAGAATTCTTAGGAATTCTCCGGAGTATTGGGACGGAACTTTTTTTGGAATGATTTGGAATTCTGAATCTAGCCTGGAAAAGAGAGGAACAATGCCAGAATGGAAATTTGCGGAGGAAATCCGTGGAATTCCAGGATATTTGTAAATCTAAGCAATTCCATGGAAATCCATGGAATTCCAGGATTCCAAATTCCAAATACATGTACAATGAAAACTGAAATAATTAGTGCCAAATAATTACAAAAAAACTTGAAAACATCACAATTTTTCACAGATCAAATCTATATTTTCAAAATAAAAAAATCATTGCTTCTTTTACAATGTTTTTTGAGTCAAATATTGCATATGCTCTCAGATGTACAATTTAAGCACACTTTTATAAAGTATTCTCACGGAAAGTATTTTACATCAAAGGTTATTTACAGAGAAAGATATAATTACTGGAGAATCAGTCACCTTGGTTAAATTAATGATAATCATGTTATGATATACATGTATTTAGTAAACTCCAGTCTGCATTTTCTAAAATAAGAAGTTAGTTTTATTAAATGACATTGGCCATGGAATTGGAATGGTCATTGAAACCTCAACAGTATATACATTTATAATGAACTGCCAGTGGCTTATCATGCTTATGTACTGGTACAAAGTTAATGACTAGAGTGACAAACACATGTATTAAATGCAAAAAATATGTACTACACAACTATATTGATACAATGATCCCATAAAATCAACAGATGCTATTTCCCCCCAACGTACGTGTCAAAAATCCAAATTAATGAAGATCCAAAACTTCTGACGTATTTGCTAGAGAATCACTTCCTCACTGATATCCCATGAGATTAGTAAATGGTTATGTTAGAGGGTTGACAGTTAATTGGTGTCACGAACGGATTCACTTTCAGTACGAAGGCTCAGAAAGTTAGATGTTGATCATTCCAAAAGACACTTCAAACTTTCGATCCTTACACGATTTCTGAAAGAAAAAGATGACCATTAAGATGCATCATTATTGATATCCATATAAATATATGACAAATAATAAACTAAAGCTATACAAAACAATTGGTTTTTTTGACCTGGCAAATCAGTTTACTATAGAATATGAATTAATTAATCTTGCAATTTTTGTTCAAATTAGGATTAATTCTGATAAATGTATAAATGTGAAAAGTTTATAGATGACAGACAACATCAAGCACTGATCAAAAAACTCACTTAGGCCTTAAAATGGTTCAGGTAAGCTAAAACAAAAAGGTTTGAGCTCAAGCTCAATGCCTGACTAACACTGAAAAAGATAATTTCAATTCATGTGATTTTATTGATTCAGAAAATAATTCAGAAATCTTACCTTTTGTTTTTTCGTTTTTTTTTCATACACCTCTTGTCCTTGTGAGCATCCGGATTCCTGTAAAATGCATGTATACTTCATAGTAGATGATTGCTATTTGATCTAAAATAATTATGCATGTCTGTGCAGTTTTCATGTTTAGATTACCTGTCAGAATGCATTGTTATAAATTATTTGAATAAGGAATTTAAGCATGTTAAGAATATAAACCTTTAAATTTTGTTTACTTGGCAAAGTTGCAATAATTTTTTTTAATATTATGCTAATAGACATGGATTAATAAAATCAAAGTTAGTTTACTTGGTTTGAGTGATAATTTGAGCTAGTTCTCACCATATTCACAAGCCTAGTGACTGACTGGCTAAGCATCTACATCCACCAAGTTATCAAACGCCAGCGCTGAGGGGATCATCTCAGGCACAATGCAGCAACAGCTATAAAATAATTAAAATAAGATCATGAACATGCATTAAAATATTTATAATTAATTACATTGTACATCATACTCTGTAAATGTTATCTTGTCTTGAACAAGGGAACGTATAGGTAAAATTCTTTACATCAGTTCGATCACAAACGAGGAAATTCGAGTTAAAATCTATGATCTTAATGAGATGTTTAGAGTTGTTAAATAATTATTACAAAATTGAAATAGTGCACTAACGATTTCACCGTCAGGCAGTTTATGTGTGGTGCCCAGACTAATGAACAGTAGCAGTGAAGCGTTCTTCATTCAAGGACACATAAAAATACTGTACAATATTATACCTACAGGGTCTTAAAATGTCTTCTTCTTCTTCCATCCACTGCTAATCATGATTCCCCTGTTCTAGACACTCTCTTTCCAACTTCCCTTCCGTGCAACATCAACATGGCATTCGATATTTTTGAATTTCGGCGTGTTGTTTAAATTAATTGTTCATCGAGCCCGACTTCGATCCCGATGTTATTGTACTATTAGTCGACAGTCAAAAAAATTCTAAGTAATTTTCCACAGTATTCCAGCGCAGAAAATGACTACGTTTCTCATTTTATCATTTTTTCCAAAGAATTCCACTACTTTCCAAACCAAAAAATATCTAAGTCCAATTTTTTTTTCAAATTCCAAAATATTCCAAAAACTTCCAGACACTCTTTTCGAGTTTGGTATAGAAATGATTGGAATTCCATGGAATTCCAAAACTTTTCCAAACCCTTTGGAAAATCTACATTAGGGATTCACACCAACGATGATAGATGAAGATCACTTCAATTTTTTGGATTGTTGACACCCTTATACATTACAACAGAAGAAAATGGTTACAAACTGAAGAATTCAAAATCAGAGACTCTCACAAAAGAGTTGCTAAAGAAACCAGAGATCGTCACTACTATAAATACTGGATACAAAACCTCCTAAGTGTTACCTGTTTCGGTGATGAAGAAATCTGGACAAGGGCAAGTAAGGACATTGATATGAAATGCTTTAATAATCATGGCTTACTCTTGAAGAAAATCAAGACCAAATCAGGGGGACAGCCGAATGATATTGCATTGACTGATGATGACGATCTCGTGTACTCTGGTGGAAAGAATGGGACTGTGAATCAAGTCAGGAATGGGAAAATAGAAGAGATGATCAGACTACAAGACTGGACACCTTCAAATATCTGTTTCACCACCTCTGGTGATCTCCTGATTACCATGTTCCGTGATGATCGAACACAATCCAAAGTTGTCCGTTACTCAGGTTCCAAAGAAAAACAATCAATCCAGTTTGGTGATGAGGGTAGACCCCTGTATTCAGAAAAAAACAGAATCAAGTACATCACTGAGAACAGAAACCTGGATATCTGTGTGGCTGACAGTAAAGGTCATGCTGTAGTTGTAGTAAATCAAGCCGGAAAACTTCGATTTAGATACACTGGACATCATCTTACTACTCCATACAAACCTTTTGAACCTCTTGGGATAGCAACAGACAATCAGGATCAAATCCTGATAGCAGACTTCCTTAATAACTGTATTCATATCATAGACCAGGACAGACAATTCCTGCATTCTATAGATAACTGTAACTTCAAGGGTCCACATGGTATACACGTGGGTAAAAGAGATAACCTGCTGGTGGCAGAATTTTATAGTGGTGCTGTTAATAAAATCAAATATATGAAGTGAAAAAATAAAACACCATCCTTAAAATTTTAATATGCTATTTAATATCATGTAAAGCAAAGTATAATAATAAATCTTTCAAAATGTTCTAATTACTTTATTTACAGGAAGGCAATGTTTTTTAATTAAAACAAATAATTTCTTTATTTTTATAATTACGCTAGAGATTAAAACAGATTAAGACTGTAATAAGTATTACATGGTATAAAAAGTAATTGAAACCTGCAGTAAGACAATTCATTTCATGTACATGTCGTACATGCAAACGATTTACAAATGAGCTGGAGTTTGATTAAAAGAAACGGATTGATCATTGTCATCAGCTCATAAATTTTACGTTTTTAAATTCAACAAAATGATCTATACTGTTATATGTACCGTAGTACAATGCGCATTTTTCATTTTTATATGTTTGAGCATGGGTTCATTAAATTCATAATGTTAATATGTTTTCTCGAGTTTTATTGAACAGTGAAATCATTAGAATGTCAGCGGTGTAAAATACGATCCAATATCTGAGAACATACAGTAAAACTTTAATGATGGTTACATTTTAATACTGATAAATAGGTGTATATTTAAGGTATTGTATCACGTTTAACTAACCACAAGTTAATGAAACCCCCTGAAGCAATATTTTCCAATCAATCAAGAATAATTTACCCAACTAAATATTTGACTCTATTTTCCACTCCATCCAGCATATAGAGTACAAAGCTTTGATTACAGTTGACCTGAATTAAAAAAAAATAGAGAACATTATTCTGACCGGGTTTTGCTTTTTTACTCTGTATTTATGAATGTGTCACTACAGAACAGTGTATTAACATTTGTTATGTACGAGAACTTTTATAAGTTGCAAAGATAAATCATTGGAGAGTTTTTTATCCAATTTTTTTTTAAATTGTTATCAATGTTTGACATTGATTAAATACATATGAATCCATTTTTCAAACTTCATCACTCTCACACAAAACAAATTGTGATGTGAAACGTGAAACAGTACTTCATAATCATATTGTTGTAGGCTTGTCTTCAGTATTATTCATTATACCCCGACAGAGCGAAACTTAATCCCCTCAATTTTTTATAAAAAAGTATCAAAAATGCATCAATTCTTTCTAACTTTTTGTACAGAGTACCCCTTTTCCGGATTTCAGTTTTTACAGGCATTTGAAAATCTTTAATGTTAAATATATATGCTGATTTTAGTGCTGTTTAACACGTCATGAGACTATTTTTTATGGAAGACACTTTTAACACGTAACGATGTTCTCCTCAAACACATGATTATAAGTTGCTTCAAATACTGTACAAACGTTTCTTTCGTTTGCATGTACATAAAACATTGTGAAGATATTTAGGAATGAATAGTAATTGTTTACCTTCTATTGCTTTCTAATACTACTCACATGTACATCAATTGATTAAAAAAAATCCATTCCTTTCATAAATATAAAACAATGAAAGAAGGATATGGAGATAACGAACAGTATTCAATATAAAAGTCCATAAAACAATACAAAACAAGAGCAGAGCAAACACGGACCTGCGATACATCAGAGGTGATCAGGTGCCATGGAGGAGTGAGCATCCCCTGCTGACCGGTCACACCCGCCGTGTGTTACTTGTCATGATTAGGAAATAACGGAAAAATCCGTCGTCAATTCAGTGTATAAATAATGGGCTAACAATTGGTATGAAAAACGTACGTCAGCATTTGGCTCAATGATAAAATGTATTTGCCGACAAGGTCATTGTATCGACTATAGAACTTACGAAATGATGACTTCAAACGAGACTGCTGAGATTCTTGTTTCATCAACTTGCTTGTCTTTAATTTACCTCATTTTAGAAATTGTTCATACGTAGAGCAAGCTTTTGCGTATCGAATCAACTGAGATATATACACTCCGTATGCAGGTGATGAAGGTATATTGCTGCATATGTAAGGGAATTTGACGATAAAAAGTTAAAGTCATCACGTTTATCATATAGATTGGTTGTCAGATTATACCATTAACGTCTTTTTCAAGTAAAATATCCAAGTATGAAACTGATGTGTCAGACTCGGTGGTATCTTTTATCTCAAGCTCACTAGGATATATCGTATCGACGTACGAATGGAAATTACCATTGTTAATCTACATTACGTCGTCGATATATCTAAATGTCGAGTTGAAGGCCACAGCAAGTGTTTTCTTCTTTTCACGCACGAGCGCTCGCTCCGTGATCGGGAGGTCGTGAGTTCGTATCTCGGCCGCGACTGACCTAGTCGTTAAAAAGGGTAGCAGCTGTTCCTTCGCCATGCGCTCGGCACTTTGAAGTGAAAGTTGCGGGTCCTTCGGATGAGACCTTAAAAACCGAGGCCCCGTGTCAGCGGCAGGCGTTGGCACGATAAAGATCCCTCACTGCTCAATCGCCCTGAGTGCCGAGTAAAGGTCAAAATTTGAAGCCCTTCACCGGCATACGGTGACGTCTCCATATGAGTGAAAAAATCTCGATAGGGACGTTAAACAATATACAATCAATCAATCAATCTTTTCACGCACAAATTCTGCTTCATATGAATATAGAAATAGGTCCGCTAATAACGGAGCGCAATGGGTACCGTTGGGAATTCCAATAGATTGTTGGAATACCTGGTCTTCAAAATCTACATAGATATTGTAAATCAGAAACGCAAGCACCTCTTTGATGTCAACTTCATAGTACTTGTGTGTGCAATCAGAAAGTGTTTTAACGAAATAATTTTGCAATTGACCAATGACCAGGTAAGTAAATTTACGAGTTCCATTTTTATTGAAAAAGCAGCTGTCAATGATATCAAATAGCACGGACTTTGATGTATCGTGGGGAATGGTTGTATATAAAGTTGAAAAGTCGTGAGTTTTTAAACTGTTGATTTAGGTAAAATCTTGTGATTTCAAATTGTCCAAAAGTTCTTTTGAAATTTTAGTATCCACATCTGTTTCTCACCACTTCTTGAACATATTGTTGAACAGTACTCCTGAAGTTTTTCCTTCACTACTGTTAATATCTTAGTGAGAAGTAACGAAAGAGGCTTGGTTGAACATTTACTGGAACCCGCAATGTATCTTTGTTTGTAAGGACTTTTATGAAGTTTCTGAATCCAATATATATAGGGTAGTTCAAATTCATTTTGGCTCCGTGGAATATTAAAAATATTTAAAACAGACATTTGATTTGAAGAATTTCTTCCTTAGAAAGGAAAGTATGAGTATAAGTAGGACTACCACTTGTAGAATTAAATCCAAGTTCTTCTAAAATACAATTTATATAATGCGCCTTACAAACGAAGACAATGTTGTTACTTGCTTTGTCGGCAAGGACCAGTACGTACTGATCATGTAATCTAGCTAATCCTTTTTCTGGATAATTGCACACAAAAGGATAGATGGTTTTCTCACTGCCCCTCAATCTTTTAATGCGCGACTTTAACATGGATCTAATACATTTAATTCTGACAAGGTGTCAACGTCTTCTTTTTCATATCTGGCCCATCGTCTTGCGTAATTTTCAACAGAATCCATAATATTTATGAAATTCCGACGCCAGTTGAAGGATCGGGGTTCCCTATATTTAGGACCTTTTAAAATAAGTGATCTAAGGTCCTCATTATTAACTATATTTACGTCACCTATAATAACGTGTCCAGCAGGACTATAGTTATAGGGCGAAGAAGAACATGAACACGATGGAGGAATATGTTTCAGATACTCGTTACCCTCGTTATGTAAAGATTTTTTTTTTTTGAAAATGATTTTTAATTGACGATAAATAATTACTTTATTTAAAACAATTAAAAATTAGCGTGTATTCTCGTTTCGGCTAAAACTTCCTCCCATATATATGCGATAAGAAGTTTTCTGATTTATGACAATGGTCGATACCAAAGAGTTTGCTTTCATAAATAAACAAAATGATTTCATCACTTTTAGCATAAGAGACGTCACAGGTAAAAATAAGGTTTGTTAATTAACTACTTTCCAAAGCATAGGAATTGTGAGCCTTTCAACAGGGTTTTTCCAAATTAATTTACAAATAGTGAAAAGACATCCATTTAAAAAGAAAGTGGAGTGACAGTTTACGCATGAACTCTACGCTACCTGCAAGGAATTGTAATGATTTAAATTTAAAATTCTCAACATAAGTCATTGTTTAATCCTCATCATTTTTAGATAGATATAACATACATGCTACACGAAAGCCATATGCGTTACAACACTCACCTGCGCTTTATTACTTAATTACTTAAATAAATTGATGATTAGACATTCGAGAGAAAATTTCGAAATGTTTACATAAAAGTTTGCAAAGGCGAGCAATAAAATGTGGATTTATTTCAATGTCCGAATTTAGAAATGTGATACTATTCATAGGCGTCGAAAACGGAAACATTTTTGCAGCAATAGACTTTATATAGGCATTTAGAAATTTTGATTTACTTTTTTGTTGCTTTAGCCCCCCCCCCACTTTCGATTAGCGCCCCCCTCCCACTTTCAATTTGCTACCGACGCCCATGCTATGAATAAAAAAGTAAATATACATTTGTGATATCCTTTTTACAAATTGAATCCAGAGGATGAAAAGCATTTTCTTGTACAAAAAACTATGATATTCTCTACAATTATAAGTAAATCATTTAAATTTTTGTTAATTTAATTTACAGAAATATTCATGATTAATCACTTTGCTGAGAGTGAAACACAATTTGCCGTTTTGACAGAATTTTTGTTTCAGTTTGTAACCTTACAATACAATTGTGCTTTAAATTCATAAAGTGCAATATTTCTATCCAAAAAGTGCTGACTGACGGTTTTCATACGAATTTTTAGTCCATTATTCATTTGTTATGTTTTCTTCCGAACATGACAAGAATCGAGTGGTGGGTTTAACCGCCATTAACCAGTCAGCATGGAATGCACACTACTCCATGGTATCTGATCCAACCTTTTGTATTTTAGAGGGCCTTGTTTGCTCTACTCGTGATTTATATTGTTTGAGGTGACATTTGAACTTGAG